ATAATCGTCAAAGTTTTCTGTCAAATTGTAAAAATAATCTTTACAATTTATCGAGTTTTCTTTTTTTTTTTTTTTGTAACGTAACGCTGTACGTTATTTAATAGATCGTTATATGCAATTATTGACGTGCAAAGTAGCCATTCATTATCAAAAATTGAAACAAGATTTCTTATATAGAAATTACGTGTACTCTTTCATTGGTCTCATTCGTTCTCATACTACGTAGAACTCACTCCACGTCGAGTTCATTCTACGTAGAGCTCATTCTACGTCGCGAGACGTCACCGGTAACCGGTATTCCTTCTGTTTGATCTCGTAACGTAAGAATTAAAAAAGGTCACTTATAATCAGATACATTTAGAACAATGTACACCATTAGAAGAATTTTCACGTCTAATATCACGTAAGTTTTTATACGTTTTTTTTCCCCTCACGAATTTGTTCATTTATATATTTGGCATTACATAATTTCTAACCCTTTTACTATCTAATACATTCCATTTTAAGCTGACGACCATATTCAGTATAATACTTTAATTAATTTTATAATGAGATATATAATTAAATAACGAATATAAAAAAAAGAAAAAAATTAAATGACACAAGACTTTTTTTACTCAATATCATATTCTTTTTTCATTGATCAATACGTCCAACTGATCAATATAATATAACAAAATTAGCATCCATGTTTAATTGAAATAATTAAATATTCATTATATAATTAAGTCTATTATTGTGGTAATTTTTTTTTATTTTTCACAGTAAAGAACAATGTACAAGATTGAAACATACCTTACCGGATTTGCCTTACGATTACAAGGCATTAGAACCGATAATAAGTGCGGAAATAATGCAACTACATCATTCTAAACATCATGCGACTTATGTTAATAATTTAAATGTTGCCGAAGAGAAAATGAAAGAAGCCGTCGGTAAAGGTGATGTAAATACGCAAATTGCGCTTGGTCCTGCATTAAAATTTAACGGAGGTGGACATCTCAATCATAGTATCTTTTGGGCAAACCTATCGCCTAGTGGTGGTAAACCAAATGGTATATTTAAACAATTTTATTATATAGCTATCGTTATATTTCATAAAAGTGCTACGAAGTTCTTCTTTCTTCAATATAATCTTTACTGAGCAATTAATCAATATTTTATATATATATATATATATATACAGTTAAATTCTTTGAAGTTCTTTTTTATAATATCTTTGTATTTCATTTAATTAATCCATACATATCTATTATATATCTTATCTGTTTTAAATTAACGAAACTTTTGGTAAAAATGTATGGATTTCATTCAAAAAAAACAAAAATAAAAAAAAATAAAAATTGATTATTATTATCATACCTCTTTCGTTTTCGCAGTTTTAACTTTGCACTTTGTTCTTCTTTTCCTTTCTTTTTTTTTTCTTTTTTTTTTCTTTTCACGATATGATACTTAAAAGAATTTTGAAAAATAATACCAATTATATATTTATATATTTTGACAGATGCTCTTATCAAACAGATAGAAAAAGATTTTTGTTCTTTGGATGAGATGAAAAAACGTTTATCAGAGAGTACTGTTGCTATTCAAGGCTCTGGATGGGGATGGCTTGGATATGATCAGAAATCAAAATCCCTTAGAATTGCTACCTGTGCTAATCAAGATCCTTTACAGGCTACAACCGGTCTCATACCTCTTTTTGGTATTGATGTTTGGGAACATGCTTATTACCTTCAATACAAAAATGTACGACCTGATTATGTAAAGGCAATCTTCGATATTGTTAATTGGAACGATGTCAATGCTCGTTTTAAACAGGCAGCTGGCTGTTAAGCGCTTTATGTATGCGAACAAATGTAATACATCACATTTGAAATTAGCATATACTGTGCACCATATAGAACAATCATTAATTTCAATAATCTTTTTATAAGATAGTATAATATAATATATCTACTTCTGTGTTATTGTTTTATAGACATATTTCTTATAATATTGTAGGTACTTATTCAATGAATATATATATATATATATAAAATTAAAGAAAATAAAATTAATATATACATATATACATATATATATTTGTAACGCTTGGATTCTTTTCATATCAACTTCATATATTATATATAAATTGATGATATGGAAATTGAAAAATACAATTTAATAATGAAAGAAATTAATGCATTTTTTTTTTTTAGAAATATATATTAGCACAAGTAGTTACTCTTTTCAGCAGAAATAATTTTAAACAAATAATTCCTTTCACTATGCCCTTATCCTATCAATTTGTTCATACTTATGATATTAAACACAAAAATCTACGTATATTTTTGATTGTATTTTATTAAAACTTTTTAATAATAACACGCAATCTTTCCTGCTACTGATCGTTTCATTAAAAATATTCATGAATATTTTCAAACGTTCATAAAGCGATCGACACGTCATTAGAAACCAGGGTTATAACCTAAAAATTGTAATCAATATATTATCTGCGATGAATAATATAAATTTAGAATAAAATTCATGGATTTAGAATTAATTTAAAATACAATTGAATATATTTTTTGAAATCTTAAATAATCTTATCCAATTTACTTTTTTTCATTGGTCAGTTATAAACATTGTTTTAACTCATTGGCTGTATGAATCAACATTTTCTAAATACTTTCACTTTTGACATTTGGCAACGCTGTCTTCAAGATTGAAGCCATCAAAGGATATAAACGAGAAAGAAGGAAAAATTGTAACCTTTGGGTATTACGTCGTTTTAATTATAAACAAAATAAAAAGGACTAAAGGAGAAAGAGTTGAATATCCTGTTATATCGCCGAGTAATAAAAGACGACTATTCATCCATTTGTAAGATATCGTGACTCATTGTATTAAACCTTAAACATATGCACGTGTAAGACATTATTAGAACTGTCATTACAAAAATAAATTTAGTGAAAGATGACAATGGGCGATGAGACTCCAATTACATCTCTTGTACTTCCCGTTATATTACGACCGATTTTAACTAAGGTATCGCCATATGATATCTTTATGTAATATATTAATATACACCATTAATATTAAGAAATTTCATTGAAAATCAATAATAATTTAAAGATACATATTATTTCTATTTTTATTTATATCATACATATATAAATATAATATCATATATTTTTCAATTGATATTGATTTTAGTTGGAGAGACAAAATGTTATGGCAGCTCAAACTTTGTGTACCGCACTTTCGAAAGCTGAAAACACATATCCTGGTATTATGCACGACCTAATTCTAGGAATAATACAAAGGGCTGAATTAAATCTTGACATGAATGAAAGCGTTTTACGTTTACAAGGTGCCGCATCCGATTATGACGGTAGGATCTTTTCTTTTTTTTCTCTTTTCTTTCTTTTTTTTTTTTTTTTTTTTTTTTTTTATTTATTACGAATAAAAACTTATTTGTAGACAATCTTTTACAAAAAGTTTTAATAATTATAAATTTAAAGATTTATTATTAATATTTAAAAGATTTATAATTAAGATACATGTTACAGTTGTTGAATATCGAACTGCACGATCTGAAGATGCTTTTCAAGAATTAAATCGTAAATCTATGTCATTGAAAAGAATATTGAGTCGTATTCCGGATGAAATAACGGATCGTAAAACATTTCTTGAAACAATAAAGTAAATAATATCGTATTTCTACTTTATATATATATATGTATATGTATATATGTATAAATAAGATTTGATATTATAGATTAAAAATATATTTTGACATAATTCTTGCAGAGAAATTGCAAGCGCGATAAAGAAATTATTAGATGCAGTAAATGAGGTCACTGCATTTATACCTGGGTCAACGAGAAAACAAGCATTGGATCAGCGTAAAAGAGAATTTGTAAAATATAGTAAAAGGTTTAGTAATACGCTGAAGGAATACTTTAAGGAAGGGCAGTAAGTACATATATACGTTTATGCTTATAAATAATCTCATTTATAAGAACTTTGAGTGTGTGTGTGTGTGTGTATGTATGTTTATATACATATATATATATGTGTATGTATATATATATATGTATATTAATCAGGAAAACATTTAGGACATCAGTTTTTGGTATAAGAATTCTTATAAAATATTGTATAAATATTGTGCAATAATTCAAATCTCTTAACTTAAAGTATGATGAACATTTTGAACACATTTATCATATTCTATCACATACACTTTTATTATTATAGGTAGTAGCACCTCTTATTTAATACTTTTCTGTACAACATTGTTTCTAGTTGACACTTTGAAAATTTTAATAGAATTATAGAAGCTTATGTTAAAAGTAAATCACAATAGATTAACCTTCTTAACAGAAATTGTTTAGTCATTTTTATCCACATACTCTTTTCTTATATAGAATTTGTTGTTACTATTAGAAAATGACAGTATGTTAATTAAAATATGGATGTATACTAACTTTGATAATATTTGTGACTTTGTTATAGAGCAAATGCAGTATTTGTGAGTGCATTATATTTGATACATCAAACAAATATGATAATGCTTACAGTAAAGGATAAATGTGAATAAAAAATTCATATGACTCTCCTGGGATCATTGGTCGGTGTGATACCATAACAATAAAATAATCAATATATATATATATATTTATATATATATATATATATATATATATATATATATATATATATGGATAGATAGATATATATGTATGTAATATAATATTCTAATATTGTAGAATCTATTTGTTTGAAGATTATATTTAAATAATGTATAACGTGATAAATAGAGTACCACTATTTTATCAGTGGCTTCTAGCATACACAATTATCATACATATACATGTTAAATAAAAAAAAAAAAAACTGTTGTCTTATTATTAATATTACAACTATTTATATTACATTATCGGAGATAAATTTTTATGTGTCAAATGAAAAACAAATGCTTTTACTCGTGAAAATAATGAACATTTACGAAGAAAAATGTTAAAAACTTATTTAATTGATTACAAAAGAAATAAAAGTTATTTTATGAATAACGCTTGTACACAAATAGATGTATCTCTTTAGACAAAATTAGTTGTGACTATTCATGCCTTCTTTGTGTCATATCAATAACAGTGAGGAGGAATAAAGCTTAACAATAATCATGATAAAATTGCTAAAAAGAAAAAAAAAAAAAAAAAAAAAAAAAAAGAAAAAAAAAATCGAAATACTTCAAGCACGTTTACTGTCTGAAAATGCACGCACGATACTACCTACTCCACTAATATTATATACCTTCTCGTGCCATATTAACAAGTGATTACTGCTACCTTCTGTTGGAATTTCAAATCCTCGATAAATATATTTCATTAAGACGTCCATTAAATCGCGATCTAATTGTGCTAGACAATCATCCATTTGATTAGATTTTATACTTAGAAGAACCTTCTGTGTTAAATTTCTAGCATTATCCTGAAATTCGTACATATTGAACACATTTTTTTACAATACAATATAATATTTAAGAATATTATTAACTTTTATATTATATGAAAATATTGATAGAAAAAAAAAAAAAGGAAAAGTGATAATTAAATTACACAATAATATTATAATCAATGATTAAGAATATAAATGGATAAAGAAATTTTGAACGGAAGTATGAAAATTTGAGGTTACCTTTATCTGCTGATTTTTACATCCTAAAGGTGCTGACTTTAAAACTGATATCAATGCTTCGGCATTCTTACCCTTAAAAATATATTAAGAAAAATATTCGATTGAATTATAATTTAATTATATTAAAAATTAACATATATAAATGTACATATACGTGTTGTATACGTGTATGTATATGAAATTATGCGAGAAAGGATATTGGCTAAGAAGTGTCAGAATCTCATTTTCGTCAGGACCAGTGGGTCCCGTCGAACCCGCATCTCCATCCTCTTCCTTAAAATTATTATCACTGTATTGATCAACATCTATTTTTCGGAATGCTGACGCCGACGTATCTTTTTTACCGTCGTTTCTCGACATATCTATTATCTATACCACGTAAACCTTTCTAGGATCACGCTTGATCACGCCCGGCTTATTGCCATGCCATGACACAAAGGGTATATTATAAATCGTGGCCATCGTGACTACAAAAGCGACATCTACGTACGTGTTCCTAAAACCATCATAATTGATTTAAAGAACGACTACAGCGCTTTTTGGATAATTATTATGTCGGTAATGTAGAACTTGATTTATAAAAATTATAAATAAATATAATAGTTCTTATCTTTTATTAATCGAATCTATATTACAGTATATTTATGATTTAATAAGAAATAATTTGAAATTTATTGGAAGTTTAGTTTCTTGCCGTTTTTATTGTATCATGCTGTGTTTATGTTCTTTCGAATGGTGTTAGATCTAAACGAACGCAATGGATTGTCCGGCACTTATTAATATATTTCATACTCCTAAAATAATATGGTATCAAACGGATAATACAATTGGTATCCGTGTTATGTTACAAGACGTTAAGGACTATTTTCTTAGGGTCGAAATTGACCATTTATTTTTTAGGTATAAACAGATAATAACAACGTGAAGGTTAAAAGTTTGTTTACATTATTATCAAATCGATGTTGAGTGGAAAAAAAAAAGAAAAATGATAAAAGAATATATCTATTTTTAGCACCATATTGAACGACAAAGAATATTATCTAAGTTTGTATCTATTTGGCAGTGTGATACCAGAAAAAACTACTCATCTCAATTTGGAAAGAGAAATTAAAATCAATCTCATAAAGGCATTTAAATGTAATTTTTATAATAATATCATTGTTAATATGACTTTTGATTGATAAATGTTAACTTTAATTATATGTGATAGGGTTACCTTGGTTAAGATTATTAAATGATAAGGAAAAATTTCCTTATGTAGTTCATGATCTAGAACGTCTATATGAACCAAGTTGGAGGAAGGATGAAAAAAGGAAAATTGTTATAGATGGTAATTATATACATTTTTTCTTGTTCTTTTTTTTTTTTTTTTTTTTTTTTTCATATAATAAAAAAATTTTTATCGAAAACATTTTTTTTAATAATTCTATCTCGTGCTTTTGAAAACTTTAGCTTTCGTAAAGTTTATTATTGTATTGTGATTTTTCTTTTTTTTTTTTTTTTTTCAATCCAGAGGAACACAAAATAGCTGAGTATCTGCGCACACAAAATATTTTACCCGATGATGAATATACCAACGATGAAGATTCCGATGAATGGCTAGACAATGAAATGCTAGATGATTTATTGTTTTAATACATTTATTATTACTAGCCGAAAAGATATAACCTTTTTTTTAAAAAAGACATTATTTAATTTACATTTGTCAATGTGATTACAATAGAATTTTAATCTTTTAAATCTACAATTTATTAGAATGCTCGATTAATGATATTCAATCTGCGAGAAATGTTTTTCTTTATATGAAAAATATTTTATTTGCAATATACGGTTTCATTAAATGTTTATATTTGAATAAGTTACAAGAAAAAAAAAAATCTCTAACATCAGTATTATTTTTTTTTCTTCTAAATATTTTTATTACCAAAGATTAGATTCATATTGTTTGAAAAAATTTAAGTGAACATTTGTTATACATTCGTGAGAGATTAAAGAATATTTTGAAAGCATATTTAAACATTTATAAATATTTTTATATTTATATTAAGATGTGAGAATGAAAACAAAAAAAAAAAAGAAAAAGAGAAAATGGAAAGAAATTATAACACAATTTTATTATTTTTTTTTTTTCAAATAATTTAATAAAAATTGTGAATATATAGAACCTGTATATCATTTCTCAACATATGTCTTTTATCAATAATGCTTGTCGTAAGTATGACTAATATAATTAATTAACAAAAAAAATGTTACAATTAATGTGGACAATTAATTATTACATACAATTTAAATCAAAAATCTTATTTTTGTATTAAGCAAAAAAGTGAAATAGCTATTAAAAGTAACAGATTAGAATACATTATTAAAAATAATGTATATCTTTATAATAATGTATTCTAATAAAAGTTAATAAAATAATCTAAAAGTGATAATACTTATGTGATTGTCAATAAAAACAATCATTTTATATAATCTATTAGTCGAGGAACTATTAGAATGTTGGTATTCAATATAAATGCTAAATATTTGTTTGTATATCGCATTATACAATATTTGCATATAACTCCTTATAACGTAATGGAATATATTGTTTTGTGTGAGACGTATTATATAAAGTAAAGATACTACAAATATGACTATCATATATCCCTGCAAAGTATACCTTAAAATTTGAATATAATTTTATGTAATATATATATGTATATATATATATATTACATAAAATCATCATTTATACAAGCAATCACTATAAACGTAGAAATAACATATATATATTAATGAAAAGAATAAATGACGCTTCATTGGTGAACATATATAAGAATAGAGAATATATTCATGAGATTATATTATTTTGACTACTTTCTAATAGCTATTTGAACAATTTATTTTAACATTCTTATATATTTAACTTTATTTAAATAATTATTGTTCAATAAATTATTATTATTATAAACTAAATATATGATAAATATTATTTCAAATATATTTATTCAAAAAGTATTTTGCAATTTGAACGTAAAGAAAAAAGAAAAAGAAAAAAACTGAAACGATACATAAATTAATATCTTTTGTTGTAATGCTAATATAAGAATTTTCTTTGGTACTGATGATTCGTAGAAATGAGAAGATTATTTAAATGCCTTTATAAAGAGATTTTTGTAAAGTTGTCATAGAAGAATTTAAATTAATATATATATATATTTTTTTTTTGATATTAATGAAATGAAAAAAATAAATTATTTTAATATCTTATATTGAATTAAAAAAATTAATTCGAAAGAATTAAGATACGATCATTTTTCTTATTAAACGAAACTAAGTTAGATTGAGAAATGAAATATTAATGATTACAATTAATAAGAAATATTTTGAAAAAAAAGAAAAAAAAAGAAAAGAAAAAAAAAAAGAAAAAAAAAAAAGAAAAAAAGATTACACTTTCATAGCTACATCCCAATAACAATATTTATAATAATACTGTCATTGTTGAAAAAACAAGACGAATATAAATATCAGAGATTACATGATATAGTATTTTAAGATTCTCTAAGCTATACATATATATGTAGACATATATATATAAAAGCTTTATATATGTGTATGTGTGTACCTGTGTGTACATATATATATATATATATATATATATATATATATATATATATATATATATATATAAATTATTATAATTTATTTATCTTTAAATTTAACTGGCACCTTCCAACGAAAGTCTTTGATTAATATTCTCTACTCTTACTTTCATTTCCCTGAGTATATCCTCAGCTAGATTATCGACAGTTGTATATCTAACTTTGAAGAAATTAAATATATCTATGAGAAATTCTATTATCTGATCTCTAAAAAATTGGCAGGTAGATTTTAGGCTTCCCTCGGGACCTAGGAATCCCCAAACAAGTACCGGTGTTATTTGTTCAGAAATGAAATAGAAATGAGCTAAGAAACCTTTATCATATTTTAACATTTGTCTTTTGCCCATCAGCATAGACCATACAGCAGTTCCTACGGCCTTAAACATAAGATATAAATATTGTCAAATTGTCAAATAAAATTCATTTGATTAAAATAATTTAATTTTTTTTTTTTTTTTTTATATTTTTTTAACTCACCGTTTCTCTAAAACTCGCGGATATCCATCTATTTTGTAATATTGCCTTGATGGACGATGGTGGTTTCTCGACTTCCTCGAAGGCATCTAATAGTATAAAGTCAATTAATACGTCATAAAAATTAATACATTTGACACCACGGTTAAATAACTCTTCCTCGATCATATTACTGTTACTTGGATTGTGTAAGAATTCCAACATCCGTTCGTAATGCGTCAGATAATCCTTAGGATCCTAAAAAGGAGAGAGAGAGAAAAAAAGAAAAAAAAAAAAGAAAAAGAAAATTATTATCGAGCTTCATGATTATATGTATGTATATATATATATATATATATCTTGTTCTCTTTTCGTCATACTTCATATAGATCATAAGATACATACTCTATCGGCATAAATAATTAAATCGCTGATAATTTGACGGCCAATATCAGCTATCCAAATGGTGGTCGATTGTGTGTCGAACAGTTTCGTGTAAGCTTGACGAAGACAGTATACTTTAGCCAAGTATTCAACATCGGAGCCACATTTTACCAATTCCGTATGTAATCGCCTGCAATGCAGTGTTCATATAAAATTCGATATTTTTTCGTGTTAAAAAGTATCGCAAAAAAAAGAAGAAAAAAAAAAAGGAAGAAAGAAAAGAAGAAAAAAATTAAGATCTTCAATATGTGTATATGTGTGTGTGCATATAAGTCCTATGTACATACATATATATAAATGTATATATATATATATATACCTGCAGGGAATGCCTTTATCCTCGTGTTGTTTTAACGCTGCATGATATAATTTTTGCCTCTCGAAATGTGGAAAAAGTTCGGAAAATTCTTCGAATTCACGTAAATCAGCTACCTGCAAAGAAAACGATCGAAATTCTAAATAATAAATATAAAATAGTTGTAAAGAGATGTACGAGATGTAACAGAGTGGACGAGTGTGAAATTATATTTAAAAGGGAAAAAAAAGAAGTAAAAAAAAATAAAAAAATAAAAAAATAAAATAAAAAAAAATTTTTTTAAATAAAAAAAAAATGGAGAATACATGTTTCTTTTGTTCTCTCATCTCTCATATCTATTTTCCTTTAATCGTTTATCATTTAATATCATTTACATAATAGAAATAAGATGAAACATATAAATGTACCCACGTTATTAAAATTTCAAAATTCCCAAGGTGTTATGTAATAGGTAAAATCTCGGGATAAAAATTCTACTTTAGAATATTTGAGATCGCAGTGAGAGAAGAGGAAGAAAAAATTAAAAAAAAAAAAGAAAGAAGAAAGAAGAAAAAGAGAGAAAAAGAAGAAGAAGAAGAAGAAGAGACAAGGGATATCTCAATAAAGTTGATTTGAGTTCTGAATGAAGATTTAAAATCTGTCCTTACGAGTGTAACAAAAAAGAAAAGAAAATGTAAAAGAAAGAAAGAAAGAAAGAAAGAAAGAAAGAAAAAACGTAAAGCGATTATTCGCGTCCATTCATTGTCATAGTAATCGTACATGGAGATTATTTTCCCCCTTCGCCATCATCATTCGTTGGTATTCTACGCAAAGAGGTAGAACGACAACGTACCAAGTCATCGTCCCCAAGCGTAGGAGGAAGAATTAGAAGAGAAGGAGGAGGAAGAGGAGAAGGAGGAGGATGAGGAGGTGATATGCTCACGGGAAAGGCTTTAGAAGATGAGGGCTGCCCCGTACACACAGAAAGGGGAACGAACGACATCCATGGACGAGAAGAGTGCACGGTGGTATCTTCCGCATTCCAAAACATGAAATTCATAGAACGCCTCCCGTCTGTAATATACTCTTTTACGAGAAGAAATGTAATGGATCGATATTTAACCGGTTAACAAAATTATTAATGTATAATCAATTTCTCTAATACGGGCAAGATTAAATCAATTAGTTCTTATCTTTTCTTCTTTTCTTCGTTTCTTTCTTTCTTTCTTTCTTTTTTTTTTTCTTTTTTTTATTATTTTTTTTGATCATCATTCCATATATGTGTATATATATATATATATTTTTTATTTTTATTTATTTTTTTTACTCTTTTTTTTCGATCATCATTCTATATGTGTGTGTATATGTGTGTATATATATATATATATTTTTTTTTTTTTCGGTACAGATTTGAGATTTGTGTATTTCCCCTGTTGATATATTATATCTATATCCCCCTGCGAACTGCCGACCGTGAACATATGAATTTAATAGTTTATGATGAAAGTAGGAAAAAAAGAAAAAAAGAGAAGAAAAGGAAGAAGTATACGTTAAGAAGAAAGAAGAATAACGTCAATCTTGTCTTCTTCGATTCTCTTCTCTTCTTTCTCCAATGATTCTGAAGAATTCTCTCTCTCTCTCTCTCTCTCTCTCTCTCTGTCTCTTTCGTCTCTCTCTTCACTTTCATCCTCCTTCACCCGTCATATCAACGTCATTTCGTATCAATTCCATTCCTTTTATCTCTCTCTCTCTCTCTCTCTCTCTCTCTCTCTCTCTCTCTCTTTCTCTCATGCTTTATTTTCACACTTCGCGCTTTATAACTTTATTCGTCGTCATCGTCCTCATAATCGTCGTTGTCGTCGTTGTCGTCGTTGTCGTCGTTGTCGTCGTTGTCGTCGTTGTCGTCGTTGTTGTTATTATTGTGTAAAAAAAAAAAAAAAGAAAAAAAAATCAAAACGTGAAATTAAAGACAACAGGAGAAATAAAATCGGTTTATTATAATGTCCCGTTATAATCTATTATTTGGAAGAATAGATTTGTTAACTCTAATTGTGCACACCTGAAAGTAATTTTTAATTTGTGCATTTCGAATGTGCTACATTCTCTAGGCCACTTTGAACAGCTGTCATTTATACTGAATGAATAATTTTAATATCGAAAAACTTCTTTCACATTCTTTGAAGCTTCGAAAATAATAATTAGTAAGATTTGAAAACGCATTTTCGACTTTGACGTTACAAAAAAAAAAAAAAAAAAAAAAAGTACTCAAATGGTCGTTAAAAAAAGTACACTTATTTTGAAATATACAAACGTAACTTATTTTGAGAAGGAATAAGTACTCAATTATTCCATCAATTACCATTATTTTCTATTTTCTTTTATTTTTCCTTTTTTTTCTTTCTTCCATTCATTTCATCAAAATATTATTTCATGATTATGATATGACGAAAAAGGAAACAAAAAAAAAAAAGAAAAGGAAGAAAAGAAAAGAAGAAAAATAAAAGTAAAAGTGAGATAACAAATATCCTTGTGGGGTTATGTGAAAACTTACCCCGTCTCGTGCTGATTCAAACGATTCTGGCGAAGAGGCGGCATCAGCTTTTTCCTTTCCGGATATTCGCATTCCCATGTTGGATTGATGGCGACTCTCTAAGCTTTCCTGGCTATCATCACGAAACAGCACCGAGTGCTATGACATAAAAAGAGAAGATATACATATATACATACGTACATACATACATACAGTATGTATGAGAGAGACAGCACATACATAGAGACATTCACATGGATATTGTTTCGCTAGCGTAAAAAAAATGAATTCAGAGAGAAAGGACAGCAATTGTGACGTATTCGAAGTGACGGTAGACGGGTAGAATAATAGTGATTCTTTTTTCGCCAGTGCCAACGGTATTCCAACGAGACGAACAATTATAATGAAATAGTATAGAGGATAAGCAAGGTGGAGGTGGAGGAGAAGGTAAAGGATGAGGAAATAATACCTGATCGATGAATAGAAGCTCCGCGTGATTCTGGATTTGATAACCCATGTCAAGCAGATCTTGAACGTCCTGCGTAAATGCAGCATCCGCGTTTGATGGCAGAGCAAGGGCATCGTTACTTAGAGTAGAACTAAACGCTGTGAGTGCGTCCTCCCAACAATAGAGTGCCTTCTCTAATGCCTCCAAACCTGTGTAACATTATCGTCATTATAATCACGATCATTATCGTCATAAGCATCGTCATTGTCATTGTTATTGTCTTTGTTCATTGATTTCTATTCCGTTTAACCATGTTTGTAAGCTTTATCGATAATCCCTTTTATACGGGAGCAACCTTTTTCCATTGAATTAAACGTATATAATCATCCCTATATCCTATCTCTTCAAACTTGTCTACGACTTTTTTATTTTGAACTTTAAATTAACTCGATATATGTATATGTGTGTGTGTGTGTGTGTGTGTGTGTGTGTGTCACTGTGCGCGCAGATTTCTTTCACTTTTTTATTTAGCTTTTTTTTTATTAAAGGGGTTGTTGTATATAAACTTAGAAAGTTCAGAACAATAAAGAAAGAGAGAGGAAAAAAAGGAAGGAAAAATCACAAATCGATCTTCCAGAAAAAAAAAAGAAAGAAAAAAGAAAAGAGAAAGAGAAAAAACTTTTTATTCAATAGCATTATATCGATTAAGAATATTATTGGAAAAATATTGTCGAAGTATTGCGTATTTTAAACTTTAAGTGATATTTTCTCAAAACTACTTACGTACGTTTTTTTTTTCTTTTTTTCCCTTTTTAAATGAAATTTGAGCAGAATTATTTCTCATGTCATTATTTGATCTTCATTACGGAAATTTTTTATCGAACGTCGCAGCATGATATATTCAATCATTTTTTTTTCTTTCTCTTTTATTTTGTTTTGTTTGAAAATAAATTGAAAATCTGTGTCTTCGTGAAGGGGCCGAATTTTTAAAAATGTATTTCAAGGACTTTTTGGATTTTTTTACTGTTATTTCTGATAATAACCCGAAGAGATATTATTCGTACCGCAAACGCTGTAAAAAATCATTCCGCTTGACCCGACATCGATAATACCAAAAACACGAGTTGTCGCACGTATTTAATGATTTTTTTTTTTTTATAATTAAGATAAAATGCATAAAGAAAAATCATAAAAATTGCCATTTTCTTATTTATTTTGTTTTTTTTATTGTTTTATATTTTTTGAATCATTCAAGTGTACGTAAATGTTTTAAAGTTAACGTCTATTATTAAAATTGCAAAAGAAATTTTTGTTCGATATAATTTTCATTAAAATACATTTTTCAATTTATAATCGTATCCGAAATATATTTCATTCATCATTGAAAGATCGTACTTTTAACTGGGTGTGTAACTAAAAAAGTGAAAGTACTTTTTTGAAAGATTTCGTAAGGCATTCATCGTTCAGATCGAAGACGCTAAGTAATAAAAAGAAGGAAAAGATAAGGTTTTTGTATAACGGGTATGTTTAAAGTTTATTAATATTCATTAGAAGCGAATGAAGTAATATGGAGGAATGTGGATTCCTTGTGCTTTCGAGAATGTCAAGATATCAACGGGATTCACAGAGTACTCACGTGAATGGTAAAATCTATATACATATGTATGTATAAATGAGAAATTATCGAAAAAAAAAAAACAAAAAAAAAAAAAAAAAATTCAAACCGTTTAACCAGGATCAACAAAGGAATGTCGCTTACGAGACCTACTTTTTTTTTCAAACATCTTGTATCTCATATATCCAAAAGTATTTATTTTTTGTACTAAAATCGTCGATCGTTCATCAATTTTTATTACATTACACATTATATACTATATATACTATATAAATTAAATCGATTTTAATTATTCATAAATTTACGATAATTATATAATTAATATAAATAAATAATTTATTTAAAATTTAATTTATTACTAAGAAATTATTTTTTCGATTTAAATTAATGTTCATAATTTTTTTTTTTTTATAATACATTCGTCAAGATATCATCAATTTGTACATCTCTGATGAATATTTTTAAATATAAAATTATTAAATAAATTTTCATCAATGAAATTATTTCATTATATATAATGTCGTTAAATATTTTACATTAAAGTCGTCAAGCATTATTTGAAATTAATATCAGTGATATAGATTACATTTCAGAGATCGTAAATAAATCGATATCGCAAACAAATTAATCGTATGCGATCTTTATAATAAGAATAACAATCGAATTTAATATATTTCGAAATTCTCCTGTAGTCTATTATATACGTAACCATTTATGTACGTATATATATATATATATATATATACAACAAACTTCTCTCATTGTAATAATATTTGGCCAGAGGGCAGCAATGTGCAATTCATGAGTGCAGCTGTACACAGAGAGATTTGCACCCCTCAATGGTGAAGATTGCTTTGGTTTCAACTGGGGTCCAGATAAGATATTTCCTACCCCCAGAGCAGGGTGCAAGTTGTGCACGGTAGTAAACCCTAACGACGAAGGTTTATTTATCCATCCTCTCTGATCGATAAAATTTCTTGACCAACGCAAGAGAGAGAGAGGGGGGGGGAGGGGGAGAGAGGGAGGGAGAAGAAGAAAGATATTAATTATTTTGCAAGGAATACGAACGTCCTTATAAACGATAAAAGCTATCTAAAAATACGTTTAATTTCTATCTTAACGCAATAATCGATCATAGCGCTCTATAGGTCGATCCATTTGCACTGCCTTTTAATCGGTCCATGAAAATTAAAGTTAATTGATCTTCCGGAAATAATTTACTCTTCGATAAACTCGTTATCGAGTGTCCTAATGGATCTCTAAAAGATTTATCGAGCGAGTAAATCTATGCTTTAATATATCTTTTTTTTATCGTTGATCTTATGTTAGAAAAAGAAAAAAAAAAAGAAAAAGGAAAAAAAAACTACACCTAATCGATCGAGGATACAGGATCGAAAATAATTGTTCGAGATCCAATGAAATAGTTGTTTTATTTTCGAAATAAAAACAAATATGACGTAACGATTTGTAACACGTTTATATTTACGTTAACGCGTTAGTACGTGATATTCTTTAAATAAACTTTGCAGCAACAGGTTTACTTTTCTTTTTTTAGATTCTACCGATTGGACGCCCTTTCAATCGATTATCGCAGATAAAAGCGAGATCCTTTGGCTTTATATCCTTTGCATTTGTCAAGGTGTGCATCACAGAAACTGAAATATCACAGGATACATGTATGTACGTACGTAATTGGAGAAGGTTTAATCGTAAAACTAACATCTATATATATATAAGCTACATATACAATGTAAAGAGTATATATATATATACACATATATGTACACATACATGTTATTGCATAATGAAGCCAACACATAAAGACATACCATTCACGCTTGAGCTCTACCACTATATCTTAAAGAAACCAAATGCGACTCGGCGCCAGACTCAGCCATTTTTGTTTTAGTAACTATCCATTCCGTGCTAACGCGAACTTATGTTATTACGTAACATTTACATAAAATCTGAAGGTTTACAATAGATAGAATTGATACGTTTAATTGGAAAAGTCGATTCGAATGCCAAACGAAAATACAAATCTAACGACAATATCGTTTGGAATGATGGACCATTTAAAACGAAATAGATCGTTATTATTGGTGAAACGAATTATGGAACGCCCGTAATGTGGATTTAAATTATTTTCTTAAAAAAAAAAAAGAAAAGAAAAAGAATATGTTACGTAAGAAAAACCAAAGGTCGATAACGGGTCTCCAAAAAAAAAAAAATCCATTTCCAATATCGTACTCGTTCAATCGACATAAATAACTTGGAACTCAAATATTACATATGTATTTGTTTGCACGATGTTCGAGAAAGCGAGAGATTAATAAATCTCGTTGGATATGCTTGATCAATAGTTATATTTTAAATCTACGCTTACATTGTATCAAAAATATATCAAATATCTCTTAAATTTTGACTGATGAATAAAACAAGAATAATGATAAAAAAGAAGAGGAAGAAAATGACAAATTTATTCCTTTCTCATTTCGATCTTGTCAGAGACAGACAAGCGAGCGAACGAACAAACGAACGAACAAACAAACAAACAAACAAACAAACAAACAAACATCCGAACATTGTAGATTTTTCTGATCACTAAAAAAGGATTTCATCTCAAAGGGAATGTAACTTCAAAACAAATGTTTAATCTCGCTAAATCATTTTACGGAATGAGGAAAAGGGAAAGGGGGTAGGAAGTAGATAAATGAAAACTAATAGATATATATATACAATCTGAGAAGTAGGAGAATCGACAACAAGAATATTAGGAAAAGACGATTGAGAGAAGAGGAAGAGGAAATCGAAGTGAAGGATCAAACGAGGAGGATCAAAGAATGCATTTTCGCTGCTTTGGAGAAATTAGGGCTAAAACGTTTGTGGTGTATGACGGACAACGGGAAGATCTCGAAAGCTTTTGAGATCCTGACGTTTCCCATAACGCATTTCCTCTTCTTCGTTTTCTTCTTTCCCCTTCTCCTCTTCCTCGCCTTCCTCCCTATCGGCCAATATAACCCTGACATTATCAAATCTCCCTACTTCTTCTTTCCCCCTCCCCTCAAACCCGTTCCTCCCATTTGCAGCTTCGAAACCTTGCCGGCACTTAAAGCAGCAAGGAAGGCTACCCTCGAACGTTCGGCTCCGCGATGCTGCCGGATGGTCGGCATCAATAATACCGAGAGGTGACGTAATGTTTTCGGCGGCACGGCATTGGACGAGTTGGCGTCCAATGGGTAAGGGTCGATACTGTTGGTGGAGAGAGAGAGAGAGAGAGAGAGAGAGAGAGAGAGAGAGAGAGAGAGAGAGAGAGAGAGAGAGAGAGAGAGAGAGAGAGAGAGAGGGAGAGAGAGAGAGAGAGGGAGAGAGAGAGAAAGAGAGAGAGAGAGGGAGAGAGAGAGAAAGCACGGGGATACGTGCGCGCTCTGTCCTCTCTCTCTCTCTCTCTCTCTCTTCGTGCTAGCTCGTGCTACATCGCGAGCTACTATACAGGGTGAGTTAACTAACGTCCGTATGTTGAAATATCGTTTTTTCCGATAGGAGAAATTCTCTCTAAAGCACTATATACGTGTATATACGAATTTGTATTCATTTCGTGATATAAACGAGTAAATAAATAAAAAAAAAAAACAAAAAAAAAAATGAAACAATCGCAATTTCTCGAAAAAAAGAAAAAAGAATAAATAAATAAATGAAAAGACTATTATTCTCATATTAGATATTCACGGCAATTCAATTTTTTGTAATTATTGTTATAATAAAGAAAGAAAAGAAAGTAGAAAGGAGAGAGGCAGAGAGAAATAAGAAGAAAAAAAAAGAAGGACAAGAAGGAGAAAAAGGAAGAAAAAAAAATATTAAAAAGAAAAGAAAAAAAAAGAAAAAAAAACATGTACGGACATTACGATGACTCACCCTATACCTATACCTACCGTCCTTAACGAAGGCCGTGGCGCGGTGCAGCGCATCGCAAGACCATGTCGTAAGCGCGTAAGAGCGCGCCGAGCGACTGTACAGGTCGCCGCTGTAACGCGCCCGTAAAAGCTACCCCTCCTCCCACCCCACTACCTTGGGATTCTCGCTCTCTCTCTTTCTCTTTCTAACGTCTCCTGGCAGGCTAGGCGCACTGGCGTCGAACGACGCCGCGAGGACGGACGCCAAAGGGAGGGGAGAATGCTCGTGCATATGTCGAGAGAACGACAGAGATAGAGAGATACAGATATATATATAATAGAGAGAGAGAGAAAGAGAAAGAGAAAGAGAGAGAGAGAGAGAGGGTGAAGGTGCAGACTGCGCACGACGAGGATATGAGAATTCGATGGTGGGGGTAGAGTCGGGTTGGTAGATAGGCCAGAAGGGAGAGAGGATGGAAAAGTGAGGGCTGGTAAAGGGTGGGGGGGTTGAGAGCGCGAGAGACCCGCTCCTCGCAGTGGCGTCAGTTATTCGGATTACCGATCGTCGTACGGTATACTTGTTCTCTCTCTTTCCCCTTTTTTTCTCTCTCTTCAAAATTTTCTCGCTCTCTTTCTCAATCATTTACTCACACATATACACACATACATATACGATCATTCCTTCAGTCACTCTCATATCACGTACTCTCATGTACTTTCTATCTTTCTCTCTCTCTTTCTCTTCTCTCTCTCTCTATCTCTATCTCTCGATCTCTTGATCTTTATAATCTCTCGATCTCTTCTTTATTACAAACGTGTATATATATATATATATATAATATACACTGCGTTTGTGCCCTACCGGTGTGTACACGGTAGTAGTATACTCGGGGTCATATATTCGAGAGAAGAGACAGAGAGAAAAAAGAAAGACAGAGAAAGAGAGAGAGAGAGTGAGAGTGTGAGAGTGTGTGTGTGTGAGAGAGAAAGAGAGAGAGAGGAAGAGAGAGGGAGGGACGAACATTGGTTGTATTTTAAACGCGCACGAGACATTCACTGGTGATATACCTTCTTATCGTTGTAGAAGAGAGACGACGTGTTACGCGGATTTGACAGAGAGTATATATAATGAGAGATATCTGCGTGGATCATTTGTGACAGGTAGAAAAAGAATATAATAAAGAAAATAAATAAATAAGAAACAAGAGAAGGAAAGGAGCCTTTAAGATTCAACTGAGAGAACGCAACCCGAGCGCGAGAAACGAGAATCCTTTAGATAATTCGTCATCGTCCTCTCCACGTCGACGAAACTTTCTCCGAAAGAAAGAAAGAAAGAAAGAAAGAAAGAAAGAAAGAAAGAAAGAAAGAAAGAAAGATTACGCGCGATACGCGTGCATCGAAACGAAAGGGAACACGCATCCCGTTCGAGGATATTTGGATTAAAGAACGTTCTATGAGAGCGAGGGCATAGGACGAGC